AACGACACGCTGCTAAGGAATTACACCCTGAGGATCCCTAAGGCTTGCAATTAACTTCGTTCCCGGGCAGAAGGCCGTCCGCGGTTCCGCGGCTCCGGACGCCTGCAGCAGCCAGGGCATCTTCCTTACTGTCAGGTAAGTGTTTGGCGTCAATGTGTCGTGCTTCGACTTTGTTGTTTTACCGCATCTCGGACAGCGTTCGGTGTTCAATTCAGGCTTTCGCCTGCAGCCAAATGAGCGCTTCTCAAGCAGAAGACACACCCGAATGATCGGCTGTCGTCGGCTCGAGAACTTCCCCACAGAGGACGTTTCCTGTGAGCTGCAAAACTCGTTTTGTTTCTTTCCGCACCAAGTCTGTCGATGTTTCGCAAGTGGTGTTTCTTTGCATCCTTTCGTCTTCGGATCTTTCTATTGCTTTCTCCTTCTCCCTAATGTGAACTGTTCTTCTGTTTCTTTATTACGGCATCTATGGGTTTCTGTTCTTCTTTCTGTCCCATGTTTCGTTAGCTCGCTCTTTCTTGATGTCGTTTTTCTTTGGTTGGTTGGCCATGATGCATGAAGTTGAGGATGTGGTAGTCGTTCTGATGGTGGCCACGCTTTCTCCCCGGGTGAAAAGCTTGGTCTGGACTACTGCTGCACCTTCTTTCGCCTTTCAGCTATGCAAACTGTGAATGCTGCTACCTGGTACTCCCCGACGTACAGGCCTAAGAACGAGAACCTTCATGCAGAACCATGATAACAGGAATCGATACTACTGGGACACTAGCGAGAAAACAGAACACAACCGCAACAGTTACACTTAACGTATCATGACTTCAGCAACGACCAATAATCTAACCACCGGTGACCGGCGATCAAACGATAGCATCAACGAATTCAGCTAATTGCAGCGAGAAGAGCTGCGGAAGCAGCAACAGTTCCACCAGTGCCAGCAGTAAGAACAGCAACAGCAACGGCAACAACATCCACCACCACAACCGGAATGACGAGGATATGAAGAAACAAGCCTGCAGCTGAGACTCGGCCAGCACCACGAAGTTTAACCAAAAAGCGCTGTCCCGCTCGAACTCGGGACCCAACCAGAAGTTGTGTTCGAAGCCTCCAGAACTTCTGTAACAACTGGGGCAGGTTGGTCTGTGCAGAATGGATACAGTACAGCAATACAAATCCATCGACGAATGAATGCATGGCACGGTGGGCCAAGCAAGAACCCCTCCAGAGTACTTCTTCTATCGGGTCTAGGGCCGCCAAGAATGGCTGGACTGGCCTTCCCATTCCTGGCATTCTAACATGAATCGTTGCTGACTTAGATTTAGATGCCCAGCATTACTTGCTGCCGAGCTTGTTTCATGGTTGGTCTCGGAGTCTGTTCCAGACTCTAGCAGCAGTTTTCTGCATTCCCTGTGGTTGTGCGTGAGCTGACGAGGCAGGCTCTGCACCACGATCATGACCAAAGCTCATAGCAGGCCTGGGCAGTATCCCATCATGGGTCCCCCTCCTTTGTAGACAGGGTGGTCCTGGAAGATGTAGACCTGAGAAAAAGGCCGTTACATCATAAGACGCGAGCCAAGCGCCGTGGGAGACCATGGAAGGAACATTTCTTCGTCAGCGACACTACGTGGGAACACCGCGACAAACCAGACCTGCAGCCTTCCCTGTAAACAACGCATTTTATGCGCTCGCAAGCGGTTCACATGTACTTCTTGGGCAGCCTACACCTCGGAGAGCAGCCGCAGCAACGAAATGCCGACACAGCCGACGAAAAGATGCTGGTGCCACTAGTGGAACTCTTCTTCTTCTCCTCCTCTACCTGCTGCTGCTATCTACTTCAATCGTCATTCTGGTCCCCATCATTCTGCTGACAAGAATGGCGCAGAAGAGAGATATGAATGATATGATGATAGTTGCTATACAGTATCGTCTTTAGGCCCGAGCACCGTAAGCTCCCTCCCCCGCTGCTCATCGGGCCAGGAGTCGAGGGCCTCGGCTTCAGTGGACTGCCGACGGCTGCCGAAGCACTTATCGCGCTTTGTGCTTGGTTCAGGGTTCGAAGGGTTCGGGAGTTTGGAGGTTTTTTTCGGCGCTCGGCTTGGGCGTCGCGCTGCGGGAGTTGCGGGAGGCGGGAGCACTGCCCCCTCTGCCACCTGCCTTGTGCTTGTTCCTTCTCCGCTATTGTTCTGGAAGAAATTCAAAACTTGATGGTGCAGCCATGCGGACAGGATAAGAAGAGACAGAGAAGCCGGCATCGCAGTAGCAACAAGGAGCCAAGCCTTTATCAGTTGTTCTTGGTTCCGTGAGTCTTAGGATGACAGACATCGAATGCACCTCCAGAATCAAGCTCGTTTTCACGGGAAGGGTTACCGTGCAAGTTGGGTGCAAGTCGGCTTTCTTACATGTGCATGAAGTTTCAGAACGGGGGCGCTGGAACATAGCCGCCTTCCCGGTATCCCAAGCACGAGATCTCTTGCTCGGAGTCACAGGCACAGGACTTTCAGCCTTCAATTTTCGGACCGTGGCTCACAAACCAACTCCCATCCGGCTGTGGACCGGAAATCCAAGACCCCGAACCGTGAGCCCCATGGGTGGGATCGGTGCCGTCGGAGCTCCAAAAGAACAATGAAGCAACAGTCGAGAATGATGCGACATACTCCTTCACACTTGCTAACAAAAGATGCTCCCCAAATTCTAGAAAACTTACTATCTGCTAAGCTCAACAATGCCTAACACATGCACCAGTGGTAATCCGTACATCCAGAGGCCATCCCACTGAGCGTTCCGAGGCTCCTCTCCCGCGACGGCTTTCATTCCGAAGTCACAGGCCTGCCCGTGCGGCTCAGAAAAGTTTATCGCAGTCGTCTCGGGCGGCTCGTCTTGGCGTGGTGGAATTGAGATGAAAACTGCAGACAAGAGAGCTGTTGGTGATCTGTTGTTTGCGCATGGCTAGATTCTAGACCATGACCATGTAAGCTGCTGTGGGAGGCTCAGCATGCTCAGCTGGATCGAATTGCCGCCGAGAACAGTCCCAGTGGGTTTACCATGCAGGTTCTGAACCCAAAAGATCTGATTCCAAGAATCAGAACCTTCAGGACCAGACCAACTCGTTGAATGCTACTTGTAACCGAACAATCCCCGAACCCGAATTCTGATTTTTGCTCCCTCTCGCATGGCCGAGGACAATGCTCACAAGCGAGGCTGCTTTGCCTGTAAGGTTTGTGCAAAGCCCGAAAAAGTTTGCGGATCCCCGGCTTTTCTGCCAACTTTCTCAAACCCAAGCCCTGCTCTTTTCATCGCTAGCTGCAACGAGCATGCGGAAAACGCGAAAAACAACATGGGAATACCCAGAGTAAACACTGCAGGCCCAATGCTCCCTGCAATTTTCTGCTACATCAGGTAAACCGTAATGAGCTGCTGCCGGGGATGCCTGGCTTAGGAAGAGCTCAGACAGGACGTTCCAAGCCCTGCAATGGTTTTCTGACGGCCGCAGGCTCGACATGACAGTAACAACACCAACAGCAGCAGCAGTAAAGGGCCAGAAAGGTTTTACTTTTCGGTACCAGATCCAGAGAACTCAAAACAAAACACCCAAGTGTCCAACCTCACACCAGGAAAGAATGTGTGCTGGGCGGTGGATAGCAAGGACCCAGCCGTAATTCAGGAGGTAGTAGCAGTGAAAGCACCACAGTAGGAGACATTCAATATTGAAGCAACTCCTTGCGTTTGCATGTTGAGCTCCCCTACACTGTGGGTGTTTTGCACCGGGGTGGGGCAACCATCCATGCTTCGAAGGTTCGGAAGTGGTGTCTCGGGGGTGGGGCTGCGAAGATGGACATCAAGCCAAGCCTGGGCACGTCGCTGATGTGAACAGAGAAATGTAGCTTCCAGTCGGGCAAGCGATGGTCGTGCTCGTTCTGGGCAAGCCTCAAGCAGTCCAACAGTGCAGAACCTGTGCCCAAACTCCAACGACGGCCTGCAGAAGCCTGCGCAACCCATTCGGAGGTATGCACGATAAACCCTCGGACTCAAAGCATCAACCCCACCTTCAAGCCCAAAATCCTCGTCAACTGGACCAAAGCTCCGAAGACTCCATTGATGTCAGAGGTCAAATGTAGGCCCTATCAAAAGGGGGCCATTTCAGCTCAGGGTCCAGTAGACGCGCCCACGCTCCGTGCACAGACGAACGAAGCCGCCAGTGTGCAGAATCTCGTACCTTTGATTTGATATACTCTACTATAGATTACTATACCAAAACGTTGAGGCCTATGGCTTATGCATATGTCTTCGGGTTCACATTGCAAGTCAGAGAGGGCACATGATGTGCAAGCACTTAGATCTGTAGCCAAAGGGCTCGGTCGAGCGGAAAGACCTACCAATGCCTTGTCTGGCACGGCTTCACAGATTTCAAAGCAAACTTCAGACATCTTCAGACAGTCGCTGTTTGAAGGAACACAGACTCCTGGCCTGTTTTCGCTTCTTGATACACCCGCACAACAAGACCTTAATTGAAGCGGGCTCCGAGAACCCAGATGATGCCTTGAGTTCATTCGAGTGGCAAGTGCGTTGAACCTGGCATCGAGGGCGGCTTGGGCCGCCTACACTAAGACCCAGCTAGGCTAAGGCCCAGCCACGACCCTTGAGATTACACAAGCAGCGAGCATGAACACAGCTAGGAACCAAGGCAGTGCAACACGGAGGCAAGATGGAATTAGAATCTGGATGCTGGCCCGACACATGTAATAATTAAGAACTGGAAGCACGAGCTTGGCTCTCTGCCTCTCACGCTCTACCTTATACCGTAAAGGCTTGGGAGGCAAACGGCCGAGCTAGTTCTGCATTGAGCTCGGGAGGAGGCTTCAGGCCCATGTGCCTTCACCTCCACACCCGACTGCCTTTCATTCAAGGTGACACTGATGTTGAGAGTTCAGTGATCAAGGCTGTGCCTTCAGGTATCGCACTTCACCAACGACGACTCCGCTTGGACATGTGCTGAAGACTGGTGTCGCCTTGGGCTCGTCCTCCAGAACTTCCCAGCTGAAGGGGTTGGGCGAGGCACGGACGGCAACTTCGGTGCACGTCTCCGTCCTGACAAACACGATTGGATTTCAAAATCCGCACAAAACCTCCCGGAAGTCAGCTGCACCGGTATCCCGGACTACTATTGCAGCATGTGTGTTTTTTGCCTCGGGACTCCGTGAATTTTTCCCGGCGCATAGCCGCTATGCATGTAGCAGCCATGCAGGTAATAGTACCAAGCATGTGTGTTCGCATCGGGTATCAGATCATGCTCGTGACGAAAACGGTTGATCCTGAGGACGATGCTGACGCGATGCGGCTCTGAACGAGGCTTGTATCTGTGTCAGTTTGCCGGTGAAGGTGAGGGTGGTGGTGGTTGTGGCGCTGGCCGGGTGCTGAAGCATGGGGCCTCCACAAGTTGCAGCCTGAAGCTAGAAAGCCAACGGTCTGCCAAGAAAGTCTCAGTCTCAGCCCCCTTCCGCCTGGTCGCCATGGAAGTGTGCCTGTGCCGTGGCGCCACGGGGAACTACCCTGAGCCAGACGCCTGCAACACCGAGTGCCGCTGCGTAGCTGCAAAGGGCTATCTTCAGCTACAGGCGCCTCGCCGCCCCGAAACCATCTAATCCCTTACAGCTGGAGGCCTAAGCCCTTCCCGAAAAGCCCCTTCACAAAGGACCCAAAAAGTCTGCATCTAAAACCCCAGCCGATGAAGAGCCAGAACTCATGCCTGGAGTTTTGGCTTAGCTTCATGTTGAAAGATTCTCTCGGTACCCCCTGTAGCTGTGGGCTTGAAGGTACGCTTGCACAGCGCCGGGATCGATCAGGGCTTCCAAATTGAGAATCAGCAGCAATTCTAATATCTCGATGGTGACGGTACAAGCTGTGTCACAGAGTCAAATCCAATTGATGGAAAGGACAGACAAGACTAGAGCCAACAGCAAGCTGGACTTATGCAAAGCCCCGCGATAAGCTGGACCGGGTTCGCTGCGTTCCCCATTGTCAGACCACAAAGGGGCCAGGTTTGGACCTGAGTGGTCTCGGATCTCCGATCCAAGTTGCAGTGGAATCTGTTCGATCTGGGAAGCTTCAAGAAATCCAATGCTCACATGACCCGACGAGGCGTGGTGTGGCCCTTACCAGCACACAACCGGTCGCAGGTGTCCTGGAACATCACCCACATTCGAAAGCGTTTACCATTGCTCATGTCTGCGCGCACAGCGACGTCGCTGTGTAGAGTCTCAGGCATGTGACGCAGCAAGGTGACAAGAAACCGAACCACAAAAGAAGCCTTGGTAGTGAAACCGTACCTGCACAGTCTTTTCTCCGGCTTCCGCTCCAGCCTGTCTTTTCAAGCGGTCAGCTGCTGCTTTCTCATGCACGTATCGGGACAGAGGAAGCAGCACGAAATCCAGACTGTGTTTTTCACCTAGCTTAACAAATGTGCTGGTCGCTGTGCGGATAAGATTCGCGACCATGTCTCGGTATCAGAATGTCAAATGTCTGCTGTTCCTCTTCGTTTTTCGTTTCTTCAAAAGGTCGGACGGTCGTCGCCTGCGTTGCCCTGTGCAGGTTCGCTCCCCGACCTTGTCAAATGTCAATGCCCGATCAAATTCCGATCATGTTGAAAGCCGTGTCCAGAAATACCTTCGTAGCAGATTTTCTGTGCAATTGCATCAAACAAACATGAGGCATGGTTCTGTAGCTGGTCCATCTTGGAACATCGAGATCACAATCACCCAAGATACCATGGCTGCCAGGGACCAAGCAATCAGTCTCGACACCTGCACACAGAGTGGGTTCTCGCGAATGTCTTTTTCTTTGTCCTGGGATGTTTCTTGTCAGGGCGGCAGGTGTCCGTTGCGCTATTCTTAAGAAGTCTCCCAACCTTATGTGTGCCGCACACCAACCACGTACCGCACCCCAGATTCAAGACCATAGCTCCAGGGCGATTGAGATGTTCGAGGACAGCTCGTCAATTGCAGCAACGCGGCAGTCTCGCGAAGCTGCATCGCATCCCGCTCCAGCACCTTCAGTCTGCAGGGTTAAAGCGCATGATGGGAGTCTTGTCTGCAAGACCTTCGACAAGTGGTTGTTCTGACCTCGGAACGACCCCTGCACTTGGCATCGAATTGTCGAGATGGGCACTCATGCATATTGCTTGCCACTTTTGGCATCCGCACTTCGGTTGTCGGCCGGGACATTTGCACATGTGCGAAGATGAAGCCATCTCAAGCCGCTTCAACCCTGGTGCCAGAAACCATAACAACAGCAGATCCCTGATCCCCCTCGTCGAACTGAAACTTCCAAGCCGCCCGGCAATCCAAAGAGCGGCATTGCACCGAGCGAACACCTGAGATTCTCATGGCCCAACGGAGCCGACCTTGGCTTGCTTGCGATGGAAATCCCGCATCGCCGCGTCCTTGGAATATGCGGTTTGTGTGCACACGGGGTAGCTGTTAACAACAACGAAGTGCGGGCTCTGCACGCTCCCTTTAACAGGTTCGTCTGCTTTCGGCAGTCCTTAACTCCTGCATCCCTGGTGTTACACTGCCATCCTCATCTTCAGAGCTCCATGTAAGAGGCCAGGGATGCTGGGATTGCTAGGTGCTAGGACCTGCAAGCGAACCGCCTGACAAGTCTAGACGAGTTGGCGCTTGGGGCCGGAAGTCCGAACAAGAGCCAGGTGTCGTACATTTCGTCCTGAAACTCCTTCTCGGCGGACAACATCAGCTTGCCCACTTCTTTTGCATCCTCATGGGCACGAAGCAACCGTTGACCTGCCAGCTCACCCAGCATCAGAGCCACGGGCTGGGGACAAAGATCTGGGAGACCACTTGCCCATGAGAGGAACTGGACTCACAAGCGATGTTGCAACCGAATCCAACATATGCTGCAGAATGCAGTGCACAAATTCCCATGAAAGGGGCTGGACTCTTCAGAATCCGCATGTCAATCCTGCCAAAGAGGTGCGATCAATCTTTGGACCCAGTCAAAGTCAACATCAGCTTCATGAGAGAGGGGTCAACAGAAGCCCTTCAGCCAGCATCATCAGCATCAGAAGAGGCCAATTTGAAAACCTGGCAAAAGGACTTGAAATCTACCTCAGAAAGACTCCGCGGCCAGTCCCAGTGGGGGATAGCAAAAAAAACACGCGACAACTCACGCACCCTGCTCCCCCCCAGTAGCCCAGGATATCCGAGGCTCAGGTTGTGAGGCATTAAACAAAGCTCCCCGCTCCGGGGGAGCTTTCGTGATGATCACAATGAGAACCATTGTAAACAGTAGTACTACTGACAAGAAACATGATAAGACAGACCGTAGCCGTAGCCTCGATAAGCCTGCACCCCAAACCAAAGAAACGAATCACCAAGCGGTTTCACTTCAGCGTCCCAGTCGCGTTCTGCGGACACGCAGAGGCCCAGTTCGAATGCCGTCTCCTGTTGCTCGAGAATCTTGTCCTCGCTTGGCTCAGGGGGGGGGGGACAGAGTCTGAAACATAGAATGCGTGAACCCCATCCCATTCTGCAGGAATTTATGTCACAAGCACACTTGGATCAGCCAAGGTTCCTCGAGCTGCGCGGCCTTTCTCAGCCCCCGCTTCAGCTTCATGCGGTGCTTCTTGGCCCTGCCAGCTGGACAAAGGTGGCAGAATCTGCAGCTCCTGCCCCTGGAGCAGCCAGCACCGCCATGGAAGAAGCTGCATGGCCGGCATTCACCCAGGGCATGCCCGTTCGAACCCACGTTCCAAAACAAATCCGCAATGTCAACATACGCCGGCATGTCGGTAGAAGACTCCATGCCAGCCATGCTTGCCGGGATTTCCGGCCCCTCCGGATCTGCCACACGCGCCGGCTGCTCGGCAGCACTTGGGTCCCCACACCAAGAGCCGTCAGCTTCTGGGAAACTGGGATCCGAGTCCACCGGCGCTTCCTTCTCAGGGCTGGATGCCCTCCTCTCGGCCGAAGTATCAGAAAGTGGAGCCGTGGAGTCGGCGTTGGAGACTTCGACCTCGAGGCGCCGCAACACCGAAATGAATGCAGCGCAATGGGTGATTCCACGGAAGCCCACTGTCGCACGACGCATACATTACAGGTGTGTGTGTGTATATATATACACACACAGAAATATATGTATGTACTTCGGCGGATTGCAGTCAGCAGCTTACGAAAACCCGATCACACTGGAACCAAACCAGACCTTCCAACTTGGTAGCCGGACCTCGGCTGATGCCGCCAAGTGCGCCAAGGGAAGCCTGGACATGCTGCGTAAGAGGTTGTGATGTGCAGCACGCGAAAGACGATTACTCTCCAATGAGCGCTTGCTAGCACTGTGATACACCCCAAACCTGAACGACGCACCAGGTTTTTGGACTTCGGCGTCGTGCAGCTTGCCCACCACAGGGGCTTCAGCTCGCGATTACGCTCTCACAACTCGGACAAGCCAGGCGAGGTTCACATGTGCAGGGTCTGTGTCATAGATGCAGGCTCTGACCACGACAACACCAAAGAATCAGAGCCCAAACTAAACAAATCATGTCAAGGTCATGCGCCAAGCAAGGACTGCAGTTCTACACGTTGGCGAGTTAAGGGGCCTTTCCCGCCTGGAGAAGCAACAGCTCCATATTGAAACCAAGTATACCAAAACCCAATATGCAGGCGGCGTGGCGTAGTACGATGCTCCGAGCTAAACCAAGGAGAACCTCACAAGAAGCCCTGTCAGGACCCCGAAAATAAAGTAAACTAAGCACCCAGGGACTGAGAGTACATGAGAGTACGAGGTTCTCCTCTGCTGCATGTTGGGATTACGTTCCGGCTTGTGGGGCGGTCAGGGCACGACGTTGTGTTCAGAGTCTTCTTCTCCGCACCGAGGTGGTTGTGGAAAACTTAAGCTAATTTGCCTTGTCCCTGCATCCCTAGCCCCTGTTTCCGAAGGTTATAACTTTACGAAGGCAACACGGAGGCGAAACTTGCATCTAGCTTCACGACCGCAAAGGAGGGTTCAATCGCTGCGCATCGCTGCGCCAGCAGAACTACAAGACTGAGTTGGCATGACTTGACATCCGAAGCACTCTCAGAAACTTCGGTCAGCCTCTGGCAGTCTTCCAGAAGACGCAGTCGGAGGTGCAAAAGGCTTTCGATTCGACTGCGGCTCGCCTCGCCCACAAATGCTTCACTTCTGGCTGACGGCATCATGCCGCAGTGTGCCCCCTTCGGACTTTGACGTTGAGAACTGCTTGGGCAGTAATGCGTATACAGTAGTGGCTCAGTAGCATCAACAGTAGGGATGATCAGCTTTGCGGGCGTCTTCAAGCACTAACTATTCTGACATCGGTGCCGACCGCCTCAAATAAAACAAGCTACGTTCCTTAGCGCTGTCAAACAAAAAACAACAATTCAGGACCAGCCGCCTCAAGCTCGTTCGCGATGTCAGCAGCCTTGGGCCTTGAGGCCGAAAAGATCCAAAGGGCAAATGCTTTGCGATGCTGCAGAAAAGACGGAACATGACATGTGAGCGAAGTCTCAACAATGGGACTTGAAACATGTGCGACAGCATATGTGGAAGTGGTGATGTCCGTCTCGTGCGAAAATGCACTTGTGATGTCAGGAGAACACAGCTGATGCTCTGGTTGTTGCATTCCGAGGCACCAGAGTGCTTCGTGCCGCTTGATCTCGCTGTCGAAATCCGCAATCTGGACAATTTTGACACTATCCGAAAACTACTGCAATCCTGACCATGGGCAAGTTAGTCGCTTTTCTTGACAGCTGCTGGGTCGCAGCCTGCGCATGCATGGTGGAAGCCATCTGCCATCTGCAGAGGACTAAACAGTTTAAACTTTACCCGCAACCTGCTAGAGATCAGCACAACATCAATACTAATGCAGTCATTCTGCAACTATAGTCATAGTCAGCATATGTGTCATATCATCACAGCAATACAGTCGACACAGTACTATGAACAACCATGCGAGCCACGTGCATACATCTTGAAACCAATTGCGCTTGCTTTCTGGTCGCCTTGCCTCTGCCCTCATCGCACTGACCTGCTTCAGCAAGTCCTTGTGGCGGGCCTGTTTCAAGAGAACTTGGGTGTTCCTGCAGGTCTCTCCGCAACTCTCCCGCTAAGTCCTTTGTGCTGCGCTGTTTCCATTACAAGTTTGCCCTGGGCGCTGGGCACCTTCCAGTAGTCCATTTCGAGTCGAAGCTCTCTTCCTAAGTATGCCGCATGCTTGCCGTGCACGAGCGCAAAGCAGACTGAACAGCCTCTGCCAGCTGCAGAAGGACTCGTGGATGTAATTGTCGTCCAAGCGTCGGAAAGTGATGTTCTGCCGGTTCCAAGTCTCCCGATCTACTGGTGCCCAGCCCCATACGATCGGCAGCGGAGGCGCAGTCGCCATGAATCCGTTTGTGGCAAGCTCTATGCGGCACGCTGCCTGAAAGCGTAGAAGCACAAGCTTAGCTGCCAGTCAATGCCTTGCAAGGGTATACTCTCGTTCAGCCTATGCGCACACAAGGCCAGCTCTTCTCGAACCAACGCAAGACGCCGACATTCACAGGATGGAGCATGATAACACGTGATACTTCTACATCCGATGATGATATCCTCATCCATGTCCATATTGATCCACGATTTGAGACAAAACACCAAAGCAGAACGGCAAACTGGGAATTTGCCTGAGAGACTGGCATGATGCGGGCCCATGGGCATCGGCTTGGCAGCTGCCTTCTTCCCCTCGCCAATACAGTCAATTTCGGCCCAGGCATCGGGTGTGCTTGGGGTGTAGTTGACATGCATTCGGAGTCTTGGCTATACAAGTTATACATTTGTTGTACATGTACCTACCTGCATGCGTACATACATAAAAGTATAGTGGGGGCTTTGCTCAAGCATAGAAAGCTCGGAGCCGATCGAAGCAAAGAGCCTCGGAGCCCAAAGTCCTGCTTTCCCATCAAAGGCCCGTGACCATCTAGCTTCAATGCAGTCCCGTTCGCATGCTCTTGCTCGTCTATCTTAGCCATGCTTAGCTCTGAACCCCAGAACCTGAAACTCTTTCGCAAGGCACCTCCGGGCACACCAAATCAATATGTGCAGATCTGAAGCACACTGAACACCCCCAAACCTAGGTCAAGACACACTGTCAGTTCGTTCCCGGCATGCCCAAGTGCCGCCTCTGCCATAGAGAAACGACAAAAGCTGAAATCCGGAACATCTTGGAGAAAGCATCCATCCCATCTGACATCAACACCATGCTCAATCCTTGTTCTGCCTCTTTCCAGTGCTGAAAAGCCCCATACTGCAGACATCTAATTGCTGCTCGATGGCAGTTATGGCTTCCCCTCTCACCCTCCAGCCTGAGATTCGTCCACCATGGACAGGTTAATATCGTCCAGGACGACCCAGCCGCTGACCTCGCCCTGAGAATCGTCTGTAAGATGACTTAACCGTTCAACCTACCATGCATCCTGCCTCAAACAGTCGTAGAGCGCAGGGATGTAGAAGATTACACTATCATACACGCTCCGATCTGTGTCGTGGCATCGCTGACGGAGTGAGTGAAGCCACAAGTTAAAACACACGCGCAGCCCAAAAAAGGGAAACTAGCGAAATACACAAGTACTACTGTCAGCACAAGAAACGTGTCACTCAGTTAGGCATACATAAGCACTCAGATAGGCAACAGCGAAAATACTGCGAATGCTGCTGGTCCTGCTGCTTTGCGCTGAAGTGTGCACGAGGCGGCGGCAAGAAATCCAACAACGAACAAGACTTGCAGCATCAAAAAAAAGCACCAACCGGAGCATTTCCACAAAAGTAAAAGCCACGATCCCACATTGCGGTTTTTCTCTTGAGCAGGCAGGCCCGATGCGAAGCAAACATGTTTGACAGGCTCCATGACACGCCAGTGAAGCTGTGCTGCGCTTTCAAAACAGCGCCGAGAAAGTCCCTCCTGGGAGTTGGAGCGCACCTAGTGTCACAAAATTATATGCACTGCATGGGGCATGCACTCTGATGTGACATTTGACTGTGTCGCACCAGCCGGGTTTCTGTACATCTGGTGGACTTCTCTCGCTGTGCTCGAATCACGGCAGCAAGCGGTTTGTGAAGAGCGACTCAACTTCGATTGCTTCCCGGGGTATGGCCTCACCGGCCCTGCCACGAACGATTCCAGAAGTGCACAAGAAGTCCACAAAGTCGCTCCACCGCTTCGGTTCCATGAGACCCCACTGGCCATCAGGGGTCAGAAATTGCTTGGCGATGCAGGCACTGGATGCCTCCACAAACCTTGACAGTTCTAGGGCCGCTGCTTAAAACAGAAAGACTTCACGGCAAACTACTCATAACCAGATCATAACCAGATACAGCTACTCCGTCGCACACAGTTGAGAAACTCCGCATCCTGCAGGGAGGGGTGGCCACAGTCTACCAATGCTTTTGCGGCATCGCTTGGCCTTGCAGCCGCCAGCTTGTAGCCTTCGGCCGTGGCGGCCAGAAAAGCTTTGATCTTCTCGGCTCTTGGGCCTGCCTGAGCCGTGCCCCCTAAACATCCCAAACCCTAAGCCCAAATCCCGTTCTGTTGTATGCAACTACCGTTGCTGCTGCTGCTGCTG